CGCACGCACGCACGCACGCACAGAGAAGGATGCAAGAAAAGCTACTACAAGCAAGGGTGAGCCCGACGCTAACTCACAAAGAAACATTTCATACCAACACGTGGCATCCTTGAAGCACAAGGCATATGCAGCCAAGAAAGCGGAGAAAAACCATGATTTCTACCAACGCCAACGAATGACGACCCCTCCGTGACGGAATGTGGACCTCAAGCCTTGTTGCTGCCTGTTGCTGCTGCACCATCACGATTAGCTACTGTCACCAACACCATCATCCTGGACCTCGGCCTTTTCCTGGTCAAACATCATCATCTTTACCACCGATTACCGCCGTTTCGAAGCTGCAAATTACGACGAAGCCATGACCTACAAACCCGAAAAGCGCAAACATGTAAACGCTGAAACCCCGGACCTTGCAAACCCCTAGCCCCACAAAACCCACAACCACACGCAACCCTAAACCTGAAACCATTCTTCCAGCAGGGCAGCAAGTGAAGAAGAAGAGCCAGGAGAGCCGCGCGGGCGCATGCTAACCATGACCGATGCATTTTCGGCTCGGTGCAGGTCTTTTGGTTTAGGTTGGAGGAACTAACTTGCTTAATTTAGGGTGCAGGGTTCAGAGCTCATGGGTTAGGGAGTAGGGCTCCATCATGAGTAATGGGTCTACTGTAGCAAAGTTATGATATGATGAGGAGTTGCCAATGCTTTGGGTTTATATGGTATAGTAGAACTAGCTATGATTACTAGGTCACTAGGTATTCTAAAACCCTATCTCCACCACGGGAAGATTTAGGTTTGAGAGCCTAGAGACTGGGACTCTAGGCTTCAGGGAGCTAGTCCTGCCGAACGCAGCGAAGTGCGCGCCTCCAAGTTTTGAGGCTTTGGTGTATTGAGGCACAACACCCGAAACCCTTGAACCCCAAAAACGCTGTTTAACAGAACTCAGGGTTGTCGGGTCGGTGCTTTAAGGACTCAGGATGCGTGCTACGGGAGCTGAGTTCATGATTTTCTGAGGTTTCCGGAACTTGAACAAACAGACCACTAACTAGTAACTTGTTGGAATGAGGTATGGGGAGTGGCGTCAGTATATACTGTACGGACTGCAACGATGCTGCTGCTGCTAGCTGCTGCTGCTGATGCTGCTATGGCTTCGGGCATTCCCCAGCTGTATGGCATCACGGAAGGTCTGCGCTACTCTGCGGACGCAGAAGCAATTCGGGACTTCTACAACAATGCTTTGCAGTGACTACGAAAGCCCTCTCCCGAGTAAAAGCCCAACAAAGAGCCCTCTCGCTTGACGGCTAATCAGCTTGGGGTTTGGGCTGTTAGGTGCAAAGTTCAGGGCGTAACTTTGGGGTTCAGAATTCAAGATTCAGTGTTTGGGGTCAGGGTAGGGGGTGAGGGGTCTATGGGGTTTGGGTTTAGGCATTTAAAGCTTCACCGTAAACGAAGCCAAAGTAGGCCCAAGAGTCTCGCCGGCGCCTTCCGTGGCCGGTGACAGCACTCTGGGCAGCTGGTGGTTCGCCACCACTGTGGCATGGAACGGTGCCTCTTCAAGAGATGCTGACAAAGCACACCGATGCAGGGCCCAACCCTGAATCGTCAACTGTAGACTGCGAGCCTAGTCATACATACATACATACATGCATACATACATACATACATGCATGCATGCATGCATGCATACATACATGCACACATACAGGCATACATACATGCTTACAGACATGAATGCATAAATACCTACATACCTACCTACATACCTACCTACGCATGTACATACATACATACCCACATACATACATACATACATGCATACATACATACATACCAGACAGACAGACAGACAGACAGACAGACAGACAGACAGACATTTTCGTTTGTATACATATATGTATGTATGTATGTATGTATGTATGTATGTATATATATATATCTATATCTATATATCTATATTATGTATGTGTATGTGTATGTGTGTGTATATATATAGAGAGAGAGAGAGAGGGACGCTTGAAATTAATTAGACGAAGCTTTCGGGTTGTAACGGACGAGAAGGGATATGATTCCTCGCGTATAGGGAAGCAAAGGGAGAGAAGGAACCAGTTTCGGTCTCAGGTGCACGACTCAAAGCTTAAGGGGCGAGGGGTTTGGGGTTTAGGGCTTCGGGTTTCGGGGGCATCTGGGGCTGAAACTTGCTTTGGGGTTTAGGCTTTAGGGCTTAGGTTCGGGGAATCGCGGGAACAAGTCACTTTTGCAGCTCCGACACCCTGTCGGAGAGAAAAGGGCCACCCTGAGCCCCAAATTACCCACCCAACTTGATAATAGAGGGATCTTCAATCATTAGTGAAGGTATTCCCTTTTACTCGCGACTATTTTTCAAGATGATACACTCCAAAAGCCGATCTCCAACCATTACGGCCCAACCCCACAGGCTCAAGAACCTTCGGGCTGAAGAGGTTCCAGGGAATCTGCTTCCCTCGGTGGAGTCGCCATCCATCCTCCAGCATGGCTCGGGGGTAGCAGGCACAAAGGCACCACAGGCAGAACGCCTTCCACATGGGCTGCCTCGATACGCTCATTCTGGGGCGTGTGGCCCTCAACCAAATAGCGTGGCTTGGGTCCTGGGCTTCGGGTGGGCCCGAGCGTGCGGTTGGGAGTTTCGGAGCCCATGGGCTTCTGGGCCCGGCTTGGAAGCGGGACAGCTTGCACGGTCGACGTTGGGGAGTGTCGAGGGTTGTGGCTCCTGAGGTGCGAAAGAAAGATAATAATAACAACGTTGTAGTAAGAGTTCTTCTATTATGATTACCATTATTAATTCCTATTATGCTGATTACTCTTGTTATCATTATGGAGTCCGACTTCTTGGGCTGGAGATGCTATTCATTTCGAGTCTGTTGCGCATGCTCTCGAGCAATAAAAGAGCAAGAAGATGAAAGGAACCCCAGAGAGAAATGAGATTTTGCTCTGGGGTTTTGGCTATTTCAGGACATGGGGTTAGGTACCCGGTAGAGCTGCAGGTTTAAGGTTTAGAGTTTCGGGGCACACTTCACCCTGAAGCGCCGCACTGGAACAGCAAAAACCTTTACCGGCTCCGTCTCCTACAACGCCACCTTGAGGAGTAACTACAGCAAACCGAGGCCATGAAAAGTTGGGGTAGGACTTGCGAGCTCTGTCAAGCTTGAAACTGACCCCGCGCTCGGTGCGTTGACCCTGCGTACGCGCCCCGATCTTTCCTCAGAGATCCAGAGTCTCGGGCTTCACTCGGAGTCGAAGGGTGTGGGGGAGAGGCAGCCTGGGACATCCTTTCAGCCGCCAGCGGTGCCAGAGAAAGATGGCGAGAAGGAGAAGGTCAACGATCCCCATATAGCTGATGATGCGCTCTCTGAGCTTGATCTTCCTGGGCTGCATTTTTCAGGAGCTCCCAAGATACTGAGTTCTGTAAGAACTGGCTAGAAACTAAATTTGCTTGCGCCAAGTACACAAGATCCCAAACTGCCACCTGGCCTCTCGAGAACACTCCAGGTCCGCTGGAAGTGAAGGTAGTCGTCGTTGTTCCAGCGGGGCAGCCAGGGTGTGGAGAGGTCGTCAAAGAGATCTTGCATGCTCTCCTTAGGCTGGTCCTTAAACAAAATCGCTGATAAATGTTCGTATGTAACGCAACCTCCTCTTAAATAAACCTTTAGACTCCTGGGCCCCCGGAAGGGAGAAAAGAAAACCTCCCAAATATCCCTCGGCCAGTCTCCAGACGCCAACCCTTGTAGGCCTCTGGCAGAAGGAGGCGAACTACTTCGAAGGGCAAGGACCTCAGGCAGAAGAGCCTCGGGTTTTTGAGGCAAGGCGCCTTTTTGGAGAACTTCCCTGGCCCTGGGAAATGGAAGATCAAGGGTCTCTTCTTGGTGAGACGATTTTCGATCCAAGTCTGACCTTTCGATTCCACCAAGGCCACGGATTGCGGGGGTTGGCCCAAGTCCCAGGCCCAGGGGCCGTCTAAGATGCCTTCGATGCCGAAGGCATTCAGGAAGAGCTCGGTTTGGTAGTCCAGGGCCACCAAGTCCGGGCGTTGAAAGAGGCTGAAGTTCGCACACAAGACCTGGTCAGGGATGGGGTCGTCCAGGCCGTGGTTTTGAAGCATCTCCTGAAAGAAGGTACGAAGCGCCCAGACTCGTCCTGCCATGAGCCCGGAGTTCAAAAAACGCCAGGGGGTTGTGACGTTGTTGGCCTTGGCCAGCTCCTGAAACGCTTCCAAAAACTTGTCTGGCTGTGCTTCTGCACCGAAGAAGACCGCTTTGCCGGTGCTTGCCTCCAGTGCCAATAGCCTGTCCAATATTTCCTCCCTCGAGCCGGCAACCACCGAGTCGTAACCATCCACGAAGAGCACAAAGTCGCAGATTTGAGAGGCCATCATCCGAAAAACATAATCTTTGTATGCATGTAGCTTCACAGTGAGCTTGGGCCACTCGGCCCCCCGGCCATAGTCCAACACCGCAACTTCACCAAAAACCTTCGAAGTGGAAGCGAACAAAGCCGACTGGATCATGTCCAGCTCGCTGGCAAACGTGGCCACGTGGGCTCGGCGCTCCGCACCTACCAAGGGATGCCCAGGGCAACCCGCACGGCTTCGGGCTCACGAAGGGTGTCTGGAGTCTCCTTCTACCTAAGAAAAGGGCGCCTGAGGCCCCAAGCTTCGAATCCGCTTCTCTGTGTGCGTGTGCTTTTTTTGGAAGGGGAGCGGACAGGTCCCTGCCTAGGCAACTGACAAAGTCCTCTGATCCTTGCGCGGCTCCTACGAGGAGGACCGGCCATGCTCGCCACATGGCCAACGCTGCTCTTTAGCAGTCTGCGGTTAAGCGGTTTAGGGGGTCGGGTTTACGGCTTATGGCCGAAGGGGGTTTGCATATTAACATGGCGTGCATGCTAAGTTGCATTAACATGAAAATGAAGATGTGTGTGAGTGTGTGTGTGTGTGAATGCTGATTTGTTGGGGTTGTGGGGGGGGGGGGTTCTCAGCGTTCCCAAGAGTCGGGCACTACTGCTGTGTGGCAGACCCTCTATCCTCTCTTTCTCTCTAGGATCTTGCCAGCATGATGCATAACGCTTGAAAAGCCATCGGACTTGGTAAGTCGGTTCCTCCTCGGGCTACAAGGTGTAAATGCGCCAAACGGGGATATCTTTCATCTTAGCTTTGCTTGTGCCCAACTCACTTACTTGGGTCCGGTGAGCCTCTAAGTACGGCACAGTAAAGAGGGACCGGTAATGTCGGGGGAATTTTGGTCATGCAGGGACTACAATGCCAAAGGGAGTAGTCTTGCAAACTCTTCTAAACCCGCAATCAGGTTTTTTTGCGGCTTCTGTAAAGCCTTTACAAAGCTTCCATCTTGGTTTATCCGGGTCTTATAAGGGTCCTATTTTTGATGGTTTCGGGGTTCCGGGTCTTTTGGGGCGTTAGGCGGGGTTTCTGGCTTTCGGGTTTACAGCGTTGGGGTTCAGGGTTACGTGGGACCCCCTCGGCTAGCATCCTTGCCAAAGAGGCCACAAACAACCGCCTCACGCCCACAAACAAACTGTTAAACTTCCTAAATCTTGCGGCCTTGCAGCACAGGGCCTAAACACCAAACCCAAAATCAAACCACCGGCCCTAACCCCAAGAGCACTAAACTATAGAGCCCATCTAAAACCCTCACAAAAAAGTCTGTACATGTACTCCCTTTTTTGAGAGCAGCCAGGATTTCCATAGGGGAGAACCCTAAAGCCCGGAGTCTGGAACCTTTTCTCCACTACGCCTCCCGAAAGGCCAGCTTCTGCTTTGGCCACCACGCCTCCATAAACCGGAGGTGACGGGGAGTTGGAGCTCATGCTCTTCTAAGGGCAAGAGTTCCTGTATCAGGGTTCCTTCACAAGTCATCAATGTCCCTTAGAAGGTTTCTTTCAGGGTTTAGGTCTTTGAGGCTTAGGGGCTTTCAGGGGGCCAGAAGGGTTCTAATGAGAACTGTGATTGCCAGGCCCAAGGGAGCCGGCCGGAACCTGAAAGCCACAGCACTCCCAAAACCAAAGCGGACCATTGCCCACCTGGCACCGGCAACCGCCTCCCTGCCGGCCAGGCAGGCAGAGGAGCACGCAGAAGGCCAGGGCCAGCAGAAGCAGGAACCATCGAAGGTTGAGCCAGAAACCTCAAGGCTTGGAGCAGCTTGGAGACCCTAGGCCCTAGACCCTAGAAGGATCTGCAAGCTTTGCATCAGGCATGTCTCAGCATGGCTGGTGTCATCTACGTTCCACTAGGCCAAACACCGCAGAGAAGAAGACCAGTCATGCAGAACAGAGCCACCAGGTTGCGGGGAACTTGACTAGAGACTCTCTCTTCTCTTCTTCTACTACTTCTATGACCTACGACCACTCACACTGCGACCGTCCAAAAGCTTCAACCTCTGAGCTCCCTTTAAGAGAAGTAGGTGCAGTATAGCTTACTGGGACATGATCAGACCCCTAATATTGGGTTGAGGATCCTTCCGGATAACTTTCGGGTCTGGAGCCACTCTGAGCAATAACTTCATACCTTGTAGCAACCCTTCTAGTCACCGAAAATCCTAAAGCCCGAAAAATGCCCTAAACCCCAAAACCCTAAACCCCTATAGTACCCTTGAAGCCTTAGAGTAACTCTCATGCACAAATCGCAACAGAGACTCAGAGATCACTATGTCGCAGGGATGTGCAGTCATCGGAGACTGTACCTTCAAAGGGCGATCGGAGACTTCGGATGTCGGGTTTGGGTCAGGGTTTAAGGTTTAAGGTCACTTTTGCTACCGCTTCGACGAGAACATATGAACACTGTCGATATCTTTGCTCATGCCGTTCTTCGTCTATCGTTTGCTGCTGTGGTTCTTGGTAGTAGCACTGTCACTCCTAGGGCAACTGCTTCCAGCAGTATAAGTCTTAACAGAATCCTTAACCCTATAAAATCCGATTTGCCAAGCTTACAAAAAAGCCCGCAAAACCCATGAACCCTCAACCCTAAGGCCCTAAACCTTAAAACCCGAAACCCTAAGCCATCCATGAGAATCCTTGCAACAGCTCTCCCTTCGGCCTCCCACGTTGCATTGGAGGCAGAGCACAGAGGTAAAGAGTAGCCACCATCCCGGGCCTGCCATCCCAAGGCTTCCTTTAAAGGCTCCAGAACAGTTCCTGTGAGGGTCCGGGTTCCTTCAAGAATTCCGCTAAGGATTCAGGGCGGTTTCGTGTTGTGGTATGGTGGGGATCTCTGATATTTTCTGCAGTAGAGTGGACAATCGGGCTTTGGTAAGCGTACACGGGAGTGTGTGCATGTTGACCAATGCAAATCCTGCTTCACATCCCAAACCGTCCCCGTTTGGGACGCTTGATGTCTGTCGACGGTTTAAGGCGGGGTTCGGGGCCTGGGGATTGAAGGTTTCGGGCCTGACAGGAACTGAATCCTAGACTCGAGGTGTCTGTTGTTTAGCTGTGACGAAAACCCTTTACAAGGGGGCGACGGCGAAAACCACTACAGAACCTCGAATGAACCCAAGACCCTAAACCTACTTACACAACCCGTAGAACGCACACCGGTTCAGGATTGGTATCTCAAGGCTCGGGATGCTAGAGGCGCTCCTTTCAGAGACTTGCAATAAGTTCAGGAAATTGAAGCTTTAAGATTTTGAATAGGGAGGGGCTTTGGTAGTACAGCATAGCACAAGTCTGGGTTCATAGAGGTTTTTGTAATTAGGCTCAGGCCCCCCATAGTCTACAAAAAGCATAGCCCGAGCCAAGGGACCGTCGTAGATTTTGAGGTCGTGGGTTGCTTCTACCTGGATGCCAAACCACCATCCTTCCATCAGGTAGGCAGACTCCTGGAGAAGCACTCAGAAAAATCATCAATACCCGTCGTAGCCTTGCTGGGGCCAGTACCATATTATTCCTCCCCAACCTTGCATATCCACATCAAGGGTTACCACCACCAACTAGTGGTGGTGATGATAGTGGCGGTAGCTGAAGCTGTTATTGTCGCTGCTGTGGGTAAGCAGCTCTGCCGTTGCCACTGATGCTGCCACGGAACTCATGATTGTGCTAGCTATGACTGCCGTCGTTGATACTCGTACTGTTGAAACTGCTGCCATTGCAGTTGCTGCTGCTTCGAACCTGAGTATTATCTTTATATGTTTTCTGGGTTTCAACAAATAGGACTATCACCACTACTCTTTTCCTGCCGATATTGGTACTTTGTTCCAGCTGGCCTAAATGTGCTGGCTGTTACGGTGTGAGAAGCATGGCTGACGACGGTGTCCTCGCGACAGATATCCAGTAGTATTGCTTGTGCTACTCGTACAATTGCTCGTATGAGCTATCTTACAGCTCTTGCGCTGCGCAACATTCCCATCTTTGCTGTGATTACTACTCTGAGGTCTTGCGCTCGTGCAAGTCTGGCGAGCTCGCAATCATCGCTATATACTAATGTTCTATCTGTCGCAGCATGCTGAGTGATTATACCCCCAACCTTTGCTTAACCAGAGCGCCGGAACAAAGCAAAAGCTCATGAGCAACCCAAGCGCGGATGGGAACAAAGGCCACAGCGACACGAAACGTAACAAGAACCAGAACGACATCCAGCATTTGACTACACATTAAGGCTCATTAAGGCCAATAATGATGCCCAAAACAATTACCAGAGAACTAGGGAATCAATAATCAAAAAATCAAGGCCGTGCTGTCCATGTGAGCAATGAAAACAGGAATGCAACAACCAAGATTGGTCAACTACTGCAATTGTCTCAGGCTGAACGCCAGCTTGAACACAGTCGACTGATGCACTGCAAAGCACACGCAGTCTCTTCCGAGCTCCGGGTTCTCCAAGCCCTGACTCGGCGTGCGTTGGCTGCAGATCAAGCTGGCTTAATCAGCTTCAGGACCCTCGATGCCATTCACCAAGACTTCATGGGGCATTTGAGCCGTCCGGCTCCGCCCGGATTTGAGCCGCCATGCATTGCAGCAGTGATGCGAACGGATCAAGAGTTGTGGAAGTTCGTTTCTGACGAAGTTGGTTCCAAGATTCAACAGGATGCCTTGGGTCTGAAGCCTCTTGATGCTGCCTTTACAAGATTGTCCAGTGCCGCCACAGTAGTTCTCCATTTGCTGCCCACCTGCAAACCTGCAGGTGGCCCGCAGACAGAAAGGAGCGCCGCAAGTTCGAAGATGCTGACTCGTGCTCCCCTGACCATCGGGCAGGGAAGACCGGCGTCAGAAGCAGAAAGCGTCAGGCCGCATGCCTAAAGATCTGGCGGGGCTGCCGTCACAGGATAAGCACGTACGGTGTGCCCTTCTGCTACAACTTCAACCTTGCGCACGGTTGCTGGGAGGAGGCTAGTGGCGAGCCTTGTCGCTGTAAGCGAGGTTTACACGCATGCATGGGCTGTGGAAAGCATGGCCAACATGTCTGCCGTTCTTGAGTGGTGGAGGCCGCCCCGCCGCAGGGGGAGTGCCGTGTTGTGGCGGATTTGCGGCCATTATGTGTGGAGATATCTGCGACTGAGCCGTGGCTGGCGAAGCATTTGCAATCCAGAAAATTCCTAAGTCGTAACTCGACACTCCGTACGGCCTGTGAAGGCGCCGTTGCGCTTAAGCCTGCATCATTCACTGCAGCACGAAATGCTGGCAGAGCTCTTCGAGTGTAGGTCAGTGCTGTACGATGATTAGTGCAATGATGGCAGCAGTGTTTTGCTGGACTGGTTGTGCGAGAAGTGTAGGCTGCTCACACTGCATGGAGTCGTGTGGTCCCTGGTAGATAGCGCTGACAGCGCTGACAGTTCGG